TTATCTGTTTTTTTTTTTTTTCCTATATGAAATTGTCTGAAATTGAATCTTGATTCTCTGCACACTACATTTTTTTTTATGTGTGTTTGAGTTTGCTGTGTGTAAAAATGTTGATAATTCAAGAATTTGGTACTGTCAGGGGAAAAATAAGGTTTTTCTACTTGTTAAATTTGCCTTATCTGCATTTTTGCAGATAACTCAAAAAATATTGTTGTTATTATATTCATATGTGATTGTTGATTATTGATGCAGCTTATTGGTCGAACACCTCTTGTCTATCTCAACAAAGTTACCGAGGATTGTGGCGCTTATGTAGCCGTGAAGCAAGAAATGATGCAGCCTACTTCCAGCATCAAAGACAGGTATTGCAGTTTTCAATTTTCTTTTTTGTTTTTTCATCGATACTAAATTTTAGACAACTTTATATTGAAGTTACATGTAAAATTTCAGGCATATATCTATGTTTTAAATTTGTTTTACATCACATTTTGTGTATTTTAATTTCGTCCACAGACCGGCATATGCAATGATCACAGATGCTGAGAAAAAAGGCCTTATCACACCCGGAAAAGTAATCAATCACACCAACCCAACGCGTAGTTTTATTTTATTTTGGTGAATTGCATTCCACAAAAAAGAGTATTAGCACAAGCTTCTTGTTCCTCGTAGGCTATGTTTGGTAAACCTAGCTGATAAGCTAGCTTATAGCTTTTAAGTGAATTTCGAGCTTATTGTTGATAGCTTATGACTTATGGCTGAAAAGCTAGCTTATTAAATTAACTGATGAAATAAAAATTTCAATAGGTTTATTTGAAAAGCTATTTAAGGAAGCTTTTGAGATAAGGTCGAGCTTTTTACAAAAGTTCGTTTTACCAAACCAAGCTTATTTGAATACAGAAAGCTTGTAATATGCTTACCAAACACAGTCATAGCTATTTTGATTGTAAACCTAAACACTCTTTTAATGAAAAAAGTTCGATTTGCCGGTTATCAGACGATATTAATCGAGCCCACATCAGGCAACATGGGAATCAGCATGGCATTTATGGCGGCTTTGAAAGGTTACAAGATGGTTCTGACTATGCCGTCTTACACGAGCCTCGAAAGACGGGTCACAATGAGAGCTTTCGGAGCCAATTTAATTGTCACTGACCCAACTAAAGGAATGGAAGGCACTGTTAAAAAGGCTTATCAACTTTTGGAATCCACACCGAACGCCTTTATGCTTCAGCAGTTTTCGAACCCTGCTAATACTCAGGTCATAATTAAAGAAAGAAAATTAGAGAATTTTGTTCGTGTCGGTTTAGTTTGCTATAAAAACAGATACTTTTATATAGTTCTATTATTATTATTGTTATTAAATCACCTTTTTTTTTTTTTGTTTTTTTTTTGCTTGCAGGTGCATTTTGAGACAACTGGTCCAGAGATATGGGAGGATACTAATGGTGAAGTCGACATTTTTATTATGGGGATTGGAAGTGGAGGCACAGTTTCTGGTGTGGGACAATATCTGAAATCCAAGAATCCTAATGTTAAGGTAATTGATATTAACTGGTAATTTAATTAATTAGTAGTTTAAGTTTAAAATTTTAGGCCGATTACCCAAAAAGGTCGATATATCTTTCGGTTTTACAAATCGAAATATAGAATGTGTTAGTCTATGTTACCTTGAACTGTGACTGCATTTTTTTCCCAGATATATGGACTCGAGCCAGAGGAAAGCAATGTTCTAAATGGCGGCAAACCAGGTATATAATCGTGTCAAAAATGTAGATTCGTCATGGAATTGTCAAAGTAATTACAAGTTACAACTAAAGAACAGGAAAAATGATAGACCGTGTTTTTCATACAGGCCCTCATCACATAACTGGAAATGGAGTTGGATTCAAACCGGACATTCTTGATATGGATGTCATGGAAGAAGTTCTTACCGTAATCTTCGTTTGCTCGTCATATTATTTAATTTACCTTAAAAATTGAAAAAAAAAATAAAAATAAAGATGAACTTGTTAGCTAACAGGATTAGTCCATTGGCAGGTTTCTAGTGAAGATGCTGTGAACATGGCCAGACAATTGGCACTGAAGGAGGGTCTCATGGTACAACATTTTATCATACTAACATTTTTCGAATTCATGGAATAATTACAAAAATCGGGCATAATGTTTAGTCTAATTACAGAATTAGTAAGAAATACAAGTACCCTCTTAACAAGCACCTCATTTATTTTTACCAAACTGATGGAGCTGTACAAGATGAAACATATATGCATAGAGAGAAATTGTAATTTTTGAAAAATAATTGGATTTCCTTTTGTAATTAGATGTTCCTGTGATTAACTTAGTGATTTCATTGTTTAATTTATATTGATTAAACTTTACTCAAATTTTGGCATTTTAAGGTGGGAATTTCATCTGGAGCTAACACGGTTGCGGCTCTTAGACTTGCCAAAAGGCCAGAAAACAAGGGCAAACTCATTGTGGTAAGAAAATATCACATGAAAGGCTTTGTATCTTCTATCTTTATCACTTAATTTAAATCTATCTAAGCGCACACTTATTGCCCTTAATTTATCGAGTCTTTAATTTTATCGCCCTTATTGACTCGACTTTAGCATTTTGAGTATTTTTTTTTTTATATTGATTTTATCCAGACCGTTCATCCGAGCTTTGGCGAACGATACCTCTCATCCGTCTTGTTTCAAGAGTTGAGGAGAGAAGCTGAGGAAATGCAGCCTGTCCCAGTTGATTAAGTGTTAGTAACAATATCTTTGGAAGATAGTTTCCTTTGTGCATGAAGAAGAATTTGAATTTGTTCACTTGGTGTAAGTAATTTGTTGTTCCATGTAATAATATCGAACACAGCATGAAGCATGAAATTTGTCAAACTTTCAAAATGTGTTATGGAATGGTAAAGGCAGAATAAAGAAAATAAAAGAAAGATAAAATCATGATGTCTTGTGAATCAATTCTAATGTGATACGAGTATGATTATGACTTTAAATTGTATTATTACCACAATTATTGCAGCATATATCACAATGGTGATTGGTGGAGGTCCATGTTGGGATGGGACATTCACACAGTATTTTTCCATAAGAATTCAAGCATCCAAATTTATTATAAATCAAGTTAAACTATTCTTATGTATGTATGGACAATCTCCTTACTTATTGTACTTGATTTCTCAATATTTTCTTCCCCAATTTTTCTAATGGCCAATTTAAGTATACATATGAAGTTGGAATTGAATGTGTTTTCACTTCCTTCATTTTCCCTTTAAGGGAATGTTGTTGACAATAAATTAAGAGGAAAATGATGACTTTCTAGGCTTGTGAATTAATATAAGATGAAACCACAAAAAAGATAAAGTTTATATTTCATATAAATATCTTTGATTGTTAGATATAATGGGGTAGCGACAAACTTTGTATGGACTTGTGTTATAATATATGAGAAATTTTAAGGAGTCAACTGTTGGCTCCGTTATGGAGTCAACATCCAAGGAGATAGCTCTATGTGGGGCTGTCCCACATGGGTCTCATACATTTAGTCTTTAGCATTACTGTATAATATATTAACTTCTTGAAAATTGTGTAAATAAGTGTAAATTTCTCATACATGTGTCTCTCCTGGTCTCTATGCATGCTAAGAATTAAATGAATGCAATAACATTTCAACTCCCGACCTTAGCTCAGTTGGTAGAGCGGAGGACTGTAGTAGTGTGCTGTGATCCTTAGGTCGCTGGTTCGAATCCGGCAGGTCGGATAGTATTTTTGCTTTTATGTTTTGGTTATTACACCAATTATTTTATCAAAATATGTTTAACTTAAGTCATAAATATCTTATTTCAATATACATTTTTTTCCCCCAAATTAATAATACTACTATTTAGGTATTATTTGATAAACATATAAGTTAAAAGGCATGAAGTCTAAAAAAAATCATAAGATTATTTCATAAATATTAGTTAAAGCATAAAAAGCCTCATAAAAACATCATATGATGCACATGAATATGAACAACACAAATCAATTACCATTTACACAAACATAGAAAAAAAATATTTTGATACCAAATGTCATGCTAGTTAATACACCACATAATTTCAATACTTGTGATATTTGTTATATTAATGAATCATCACAAATTGGATATTCCCCCTGCTATATTAATGTGTTTTGATTCCATATGACTTTTGATGGTCTGTAATCATACATTGAATTATGATGTTTCGTAATTGTCAATTATGGTGTTTCAAAGTTATTTATATGGAATATATTCATAATTAATACGACTTTTAAATTATAAAACACATTAAATTAACCGTTAATAACTTTCAGTTTTTTTATGTATAAAATTTAAATTAGTTATGTTTTGGTGAAGTCCGATTTTATATCCACGTGCTTGTATAAAATAATTAAATAATTTTATTTTTTTATTATAAAATTAACTAATTTATTAATATTAATTAAAACTGGTAAATTATCAGTCAACTAAAAAAATATATACAAATTCCATTATACACGAACTTAGAAAAAATAGTTAAATCATATATTACTACTAATTACAAATTAATAAATTTATATATCAATTACAAATTTATATTCCATTATATATCAATTAAAAATCTTATCTATAAATTGATTACATATGAATATAAAAAATAATATTAATTATATATGAATTAAAATATTATTCTATAAATTTATTACATATGAATTGGGAAAATTATTATTGCATTTGAAATTTTAGTAAAAACAAATCCTCTCTATCTCTCTCTCTCTTATAAATTTAAGATTTTTTTTGTATAAATTTGATAACTTTTATAAATTTTGATATAAATTTTTTTAACTAGCATCCATATTGTAATCAGGACGTTGTACTAATTATTTCTTTTATAGTTGTCATTTATCACATGTTAATGTCTATGATTATCACAATGTTTGAGAGATTTCTTTTATTTTCTTGCTTTTTGTAATATTATTATGTTCCGTATTGTATAAATCATTCAAATACTAAAAAATCTATTATTAAATATAATTTTACCTAATTATATGATATAATACTATACTATACATTAATCATCACATTAATCATCACATAATGAGTTTTCGAGGTGGTATATATAAAGTCCATGTTCAAGTAATGTTTACCGATAATTTATTTACCACGCACGAATAGTAAATATTCGCAACAATCATATTTTTCACTAAAAAGATAGATTTTTACGTGTCCATTTCCCTAAAAGATTACAAATCTATTACTATATAATACGGAGAAGAAAAATTATTTGAACAATCCGAAAATAATCATTTCGTTTTCCCGCTTCAATATAATGTTTTTCCCGCTTCTTCAATTCGTAAATTTTTTTTTTGAATTTTTTCAACCCATACAATTAGGTAACCAATCAAATCGAATCTTTTCGCATTCAATTTGGTAAGGTGTTCCGATTTTAGCATTCAAATCCGATTTCACTTCTTTTTTTTATGCCAATCAATCCGATTTTTTTGGTTGTTTCAAATTTGTTTAGATTTATACTTTTATTTTATTAATATATTTGAAAGAGAATCAATAAATGTTTATCATAACTTTTATTTTAAAAATAAATTTGAATAAACATACCTTTTACTTTATATGAAATTCAAAATTACATATTTTAATATATTAATAAACGTTTATTATTTATTTTTTCCTTATGTGATATAATAGAATTTCGGTATTAAATTTGTAAATTCAAACATTTAAAGGAAAAGATTCCAGACAATTTTTTTGGGTAAATTTCATTTTATCTTCGTTTTCATTCTCACATTTCTAACAAACTAATTAGTATTATATTTTTTTATCTACATTATCTAACCGATTTTTTATGATACAATTATTATAATATCTTAACAAATTAATCAATTGTCTCTGGATTTATCTCTCTAACAAACTTGCCAATTTTTTTAAAATTAAAATGGTATGATTATTCTTATGGAGATACTTATCAATATATTAAATATTTAGAAACTTTTTTTAAAAAATGAGTTATCCCTCCTTTTACTTTATTTGAAATTCTGACTTATATTTTTAAATATATTATTATTTATTTTTTTACATGTAAATATTTATTATTTATTATCTAAGTGATAAATATTATTTATTTATATCTTTAATAAATATTTATTATTTATTTTTTTCCTTACGTGATATAATGTAAATTTAGTTACTAGATTTTTAAATTCAAACATTTAGGAAAAAACCACGAACAAATTTTTTGGTTACATTTCATTTTATTCTAACTTTCATATAATCACAATCCTAACAAACTAATTAGTATAATATTTTTTTACCCATTTTTATATAATCGAATTTCTTAAAATATAATTAATATAACATTTTAACTATTTAATCATTTGTATAACTTGATTTAACTTATTATCAAACTTGCAAATTTTTTTTTGAAATTAAAAAAAAAAATTGGAAGATTTTTATTTATAAAATAATAAAAAATAGCTTTACTTTAAAGTCTAGATTATTTCCATTATTTTTTGTACATTAACAATCATATATTTTGAATTATTGATTTAAAAAAACAAATCAAAACCGTAAGGTTTAATAATATTCCTTAAATAACAAATATTGTATAAAGAAAAGTATTTAATATTATATATTTTTCATTGATTGTATTTATTTTATTTTCATAATAGACGAGATGTGAAAAATATATATAATTATATTTAAAATAAAGTCTAAAAAATGTTTAAAATATGAACTCTTCCGTGCATCGCAGGGGATATACACTAGTACTTTCATTAAAATACGTAGTATATAAATTAATTAATAGAACACAATAATTGATTAAAGTAATAAATTAAAATATTTATTTTTTTGCTATCAACAATAATTGCATTTCAATAACTATTGTGGAAATTAATATAAAACATATTTATAATACCACAGATCGAATAATATTAATGCTATTTCTACCTAACGCACATATATTACTACAAACTAGTATTTTACTCTGCACATACACAAAGGGAAACAAAATTTTATATATTATATGTACGTATATAATATTTAAAAATTTAAATTAGATAAAGTGTGTATTACATTTTAAAATTTTGACTATATATAAATGTAATATTAAAAATAACATCATACACAATTGAAAATAGCATCAAATATGGTTCTCACGGTTCTCACACCAGGTTCTCACGGTTCTCATTTTATTTGAACTAATCCCTATATATATATATATATATATGTATCTATATTCACAACTCGAATAACCACAAAAAATAAAATATACAACAAAAAAGGCGAACCAGCAACGGTTGGAAGAGGCGAAGGCGACAGATGAAATAAGAAGGCAAATCGTATCACTTTAATCGCCTACATCAATTTATTGAAAATGGTAACTTTTCTTTTATGCTTGTAATGGTAATGTGAAATATTTTTATTTTGCTTTTATTTCCGACATTAGAGTTTTGATTGAACGACATTTGAAGGATAAACCGACCTGTTTGAAAACAAATTTGTTTTCAACGACTTAATTTATGTATATATATAAAAAGTGATGTTATGTGATTTTTTATTTTGCTTTTAGTATTTGTATTAGGGGACAATTTCGATTCTATTATTGAGCGCGTTACCCAGAATTGGTGTAGAACCTTTAATCATGGGTGATTTTTTTTCCCTATATTAGGGATTCACTGTATCTCTTAAGTAACGTTTATGAGATATTTTGGTTTGTCTCAATTCATTAGTGAATCAATTGATGATGTAATAAGAAATAAACAGATCTTTGAATCTCAATTCGGTAGAACAGAACTTTTAAAAAATAAAATTACAAACAATGTTCCTGAAACTGGGTTTTCCGGACAATTCAAAATGCGTTCCAACAAAATGTTCTTGTGGTTTTATTTGTTGGTGAAATTGCCATTTAGAATTGCTACAAGTGGATTTTGTTTAGAAATAAATTTGGGACGCAATTTTGCTTCTTTTATTAGTAAAAATAATTTTTTACTACACTCATGTACTATGTAGTAAGGAAATTTAAATTTAATATTGTATTAATTATTTATTATTTAATTATAAAGTGTCTAAATCTGCAGTTGAGACTTGNGGAAATCAGTTTTTAGGTAAATTTTAATCTCCTCCCACTCTACACACATATTTATATTTATATATTATTAACGAGAATGAATAGATGGATCAATTAAAATTTCTGGTCAAATATTATTATTTTATTTAAAAGTTTTATA